TTCGTTTTCGTTTACATTAAGTGTTCTACCTTTACCTTTCATCTTGCGGAAGAATAATAAAGAAAAAACAAGAGATATATGTAAGCGTATATTCATGACACAATTATGGCGTCACACATTCATTGTTAATTTGAGAATATAAGTTATAAAAATGTGAAAAATGTACGTTTTCTTTTGCATGTTTTAAATTCTTGATATAATATCAAGAATTAAAAATTTAAAGACTATATCAATACGTCCCGTCTTATCTTTAAATTAATATATTCCGCTACTTACTTACATTTAATTGAAGAAATTGGTTAAAATCATCGAAATAGAATTAAGTTTATCAGGTCTGCAAAAAAAAAAATAAATAAAAATTGATGCAGTAAAACGGTTACGAAAAGGAAGGAATTATAATAATCTATAAATTCTTTTGAAGAAAATGTCAGGCGTGAAATGAAGGATAAAATTATAGGTATAGTGTATGAAATTCCGCAAATATCAATCATACGAATGATTAATAGATCTTAACGTTATCAACAGATGTAGAGCAGACTACACAGAATGATTAAAATGATACAGTTTACAGATACTTGCTTTTTCGTGTCCTCGTTAGATCGCAATGCTGAAGCAGCAAGGAAACTGCTGCAGATTAACGTGAATTTTAAACTGTGAAAATTTTATACTTAAAGTTCTTCGAGGATGATCTTATTATTTTATTTAATTTATTATTTACAGAATTGTCAAAAAAATTTCTCGATTTTGTTATAATTTTATTGCATTATCGAACCGACTTCATCACTGTTGAACATTTTATTATTTTTTTTTTATCATAATCTAACGAGTTTGAGAAATTATTTAAAACAATGAATAATATCTTGAAATTGAACGAAGAAAGAATCAAAGTTGAAATGGAAGTTAACATTTTCAGTAGCTTTAGTTTCGGAGGAAGTACTTTAGCTTCATTCGTCGTGTAAAGCTCAATACACGCGTCCTTTAATGGTGCATCCGATGTAACCGATATCAGTACGATGAGAAGTGTGATGACCTCGTTATCAAGAATCAAAGAAAACATCTTTTGTCTTACATAAAAGGCCTTCAAAGATATCGTTAGGAGACAGAAGAAAATAATTCTTTCTCTGAATGTAGCGTAAAATAGCACAGTTTAAACTATTCAAAATACACAAAATAGAAAATTTATTTTCGATACGGTACATGATATTTTTATTCTTTCGCGCGATGTTCCGTCGTGTAAAGGATAAAGCAAGCTTTAACATCTTCGACATCTTGAATATTTTGAGAATTAAAATATGCACATGTAGGAAACATCGCGACCCGCCATTTATCCGGATAATAGGAAATCGTCTGAATAATATCTGCCTCGGAATATCGCGTGGGAATTGAATTTGCACGTAGAGGCGAACGAAGGCGGAGATTATCCGGTCGTGAAACTCAATTTGCCAGCCGGCGGGCTAACGCCGTGTGTTTACGCGGCAAACTTTTTCCGTGTCATGGAAGCGCGATGAACGGCGATGCGGGGCTTCGCGCGATCGATCGATCGATCGAACATGTGACCGAGTCGCGGAGGAAATCACGGGGGGATTCCGGACGCGGTGTCGATCTGGTACGTGTCGACGATAAGCCATGAGCCGCCCCCGTCGCACATGGCACATCGCGATGAGTAACGCCATGGGCTTTGGTGTAAACGCGGCGACGGCAGCGGTTTAGTGGTTTGTTCGAGCATCGTTCGAGTGCATCGAATGCGCACCCACGACTCTAGCAGTTTCCGCGAACGGGAACTCTCGTCGATCATCTTCGATCGCGAGATCGCTGATCGTGCGACTCTGCGTCGAATTTTCCGGCGTGCAATTGGGCCTTGTGTAATCGGTTACGCGCATTATCTTAATATAATCGCGTGGATAATCGTTCCCGATGATGATCGTCGGCGTTGCGTCCGAGTAAAGTCCGCTCGCATAGTCGTCAGTATGAAGAAGATCTTGCGCAAGATCTTCAGAGGTAAAAAGAAAAGACACGTCGTGAACAAGAGGACGCGGCGAACCACGAAGGCGAGAAACGCGAGCAGGACGCACGAGGCGTGTTTGCTGAAAGACGATTTCCTCTTTGGCGCCGGTACGCGCAGCTTGAAACGACATCGACGTAATAAACACAAGGTACGTGGAGGAAAGTGAGAACTGAGTTTCGAAGTCTCAGCACTCTCAAGTCAGCGCATAAGTCAACGGGTTTGTTGCGCCGACGGTATCGGTTGTATAAACGACGTTTATGCTACCTTGAGACATTGCAAGCTTCTGCGACGAGAGAAAAAGAAAGGGAGAGAAAGAGGGAGAAATGTATTTTCTCGACGGAGATGTATTTCTTTGGACTGAATTCAGGCGTCTCAAAACGCCAAGGCTCGCGTAATGTCACTCGAGAACAGGTGTTGAAACATGCGGTTGTAAAATTCCTCTGTATAAATCTATTGCGTCTCTGCGGTAAACCGAGTAAAGTGTCTGAGGATCGACGCGGTTTGTGCAACCAACATCCACGCATCTATGTCGCAACGTGCGTGCGTGCGTGCGTGCGTGCGTGCATGCGTGCGTGCATGCGTGCGTAGCGTTGCATGAACCGGAGACACTGTCCAGCTATTTTCCAGCCTATCTATTCTCTTCCGTTACTTCCGCTATTTATGCTGCCATTATTGAGAATGTGTCTCCGTTAAAATACATCTATCTCTCTATGGGACAATTATTAATTGTCTCTTTAAAGAATGTCGAAGTTTAACTCTTTTCCTCGAGTACAATTTATTTAGTGTTTCCAGATATGAATGATTCGCTGAATGATTCGAAAGTTTCTTTGTACAAGAAAGGCATTTATCGCGAAAATGAGATGCGAAATGAGGATCGTACATATCGTTGTGCTGAAACCGACGGTTGTGCCGATTTGTGCTAAGCAAGTATATGTTAGACATGCATTTGTATGCTCTTTAGATGACTGATACAAGAATAAATGTCATTTATATATATTTTTTTAAATCTACTTTTTATCATAACTTCTATCGTTATTATTTTTTAAAGATAATATTTTGGCACAATGTTAGCACAACCTGGCACAATCGAGAAAATTAAAAAAATCGCAAAGTGGGGGGCTAGCTTAAAATTTTTTTTTTTTCATTTTTTATGACATTTGTCACATTACGGTTTTAAAATTCGAGCACAATGTAGCACAAATCTAGTACAATTCAATACAACTCTCAAAATAAGTTATTTCTAAAAGTGGGGAGGCTAACTTCTAATAGGTTAATTTCACGGGAAGTGACCGCATAATCTGACACACGAGCGTTAGATATGTATTCGTGTAGCGTGTTAGATTGCACAGCAATTATCCGTCCGCCTGTTTTATTCGTTCTTCTTTTTCATAGAACGATCCAAAACATGCCGCAAGCATTGTATCTCCGCGTAAAGAAAGTAAGAAACTCCAAAAAGAACACGTATGTTTAATTATGCCGGTCTGTTTTTTTTTCGATGTGGAATTTATTACGTGAGTCTAAGTGAACACTTACTTGTTTTATCAGACACTGTTTTCATATTTTACAAATGCCCTTCGACAAGATGACAAATTAAGGAAACAAAAAAATGTTGAGAACAATAGCGTTATCAGAGTCGTAAGAGTAGAAATGGCACAAGTAGAAGAAGTAAAAAATAAGTGAAGTTTGAAGAAGTAAGAATAACGTCCCACATTTTGGGTTTGGTTATTTATATTTTTATAAAAAAGCGAAAAAAAATTTTCTAATAAAAAAAAACGAAAGGAAAAGATGAAAGTGCTAGTATCGTAGACACTAACGTTTCTAATCTGACATCGACAGATGTGGAATATGCATTCTATATCTCGCGACTTTCCAACCACGCCGTAATAATTATTGCGCTTTTACCTTGTTAACACTTTCGACATCTCTTTTCACTATCGCGAAAATGTTTATATACAGTTTTAAAAAGAGATTCGTAGCGGTAAATTGGGTAAAGATTACTGAGATCGGAAAATCATTCTCAAATTTGATACAGAAAATACTGTAATGGTTTATTACATATATTTTATCGCGTGCAACACGAACAAAGTACCCACATAAAACTCTCTAAATATACTGCTTCTACTTTTACGCACGCTTTCAGAAATTTCAAAATAAGTCGAATTTATATGAAAAATGTTGGGAATGAATGGGCGATTAGGGCACACTATTGACGTCGTTCCCTTTTTACTTGCACAATAGCGCGGGTGTGTTGGCTGGCGTATGCTGCCAATCGCATTAAATGCAGGTAAACGAACGGACAAATGAAAATGCGGGGAGGTCAGTGAGACAGCTATACAATGTGTCCAGAACTTCCGATCTCGAGAAAAATTTCATTTAAAGAAAAACAACATGATCCTAAAATAATGCAACTGAAATTTAAATGTTAGTCTAGACAATATTTATAGCCCAATTACTAAAAAGATCATCCTAAATACGAAATATTATATGGTTATTTCATTTCGAATGATATCTTAGGATCGGCTGAGATTCTAAAATTAACGACGATCTTAAATGTAAGATTATATATCGTATTATATCGCTCTACTATTCTATTATTTCTTCGAGACGAAGTAAGGAAGGTAAAAGTAAACGATATATAGGATAAATTTCTCTGATATTTTTATTTGTATAAATATATAAAATTATATATAATAAATTTGTTATACGTGTAATTCCAATTATTACAATTTGATCTTTATCGAATTAATAATTGGATTCAATTTCGCCGGGGGGTTCGTAGGGGTTAAGCTTTTTCTTAGATTACATCAAAAATAAAACTCTGAGATGTGCGTGTGCGATGAACATGAAGCGCGAAATTGCGCACACCTAATTACGAATTAAGACAAGCAATCAGCGGCTTGTTAGTTCCTCGCGCATTCCTTCCGCGGCGTTAAAATATAATAATCCGATGGGAGCCGGGCACCCGGTATAAGATGAGAGATCTTCAAATACGCACCACGCCCTCGTGTCGTCTTATCTTCCGTCCGACTGCTAAGGTTGAAGCAGCTACCTGCCGCAGGCGGCAGGTACCTAGATCTACCTGGGTCGCGCATTCCACAGGAAATGTCCTCAAGATTGGATCGGAGGCCGAAGTTGGCGATAGGCCTTTTTTTGCCCGAGGGAGTTGACGAAAGATTTTCTTTCTTGCTCTCTTGTGAATGACGTTGCTCCTTGGCAAATCGAGCGTGCCCGGTCGTCGACGCGACTTTCATCGCTCCTTGCATTTCACGCGCTCTCGCTCGTGCATTCGCTCGCGCGAGCGGAATGTCGCGATTATTAATTCCGTCCTATCGTCATCGTCATTTTCTTATTATCGCCGGGTGCCCATCGTATTTTTATGTCTCTTTCGTACGTCGTCGCAAGTGACGATTAACGAAAATCGAGCGGAATAAGTCGGGGATAATTATTGGATTATTATAATCGTGCGCCCACGCCGATCACTGTCAACACACTGACGATTTACGCAACCGATTACTCCAGACCGATCGGTAACGATCTTCTAGAATCCGGTTTTCCCTCTACGATACACGACGCTCGGCAGAAATTTTTCCGAATGCTTGAATCATGCGCTGGTCGTGTACATATCCATGAGCGTTTTACATTCCTAAACATTTGCACGGAGCGCTGCAAGGTTGTTACTTGCAACGCTTACGTGTACTTCATATTTAATCCTATATAATTCAAGGTCTATTCGTATTTTAAATCTCTTTAAATCTCTCATTGTCTTGAGATAACTGAATTATCTCACGATTTTATACAAAATGATTCATTTAATACCAAAATAATATCAAAATTTATTTGTCTATTTATTTTATGCGCGTTACGTAGGACTTTAGCTCTTAGTCCGATTTTCTTTTTAGTTTATACGTCGAAAAGAAAACGATCGGAGATAGACATTGAATGGAAAAAAACTCCATTCTTTTGTCGAGATTCTTTCGAAACGGTAGGAATCAAAGGTGCACAAAAACTTGTGCACACAGACGAGTAGAGTAACGTCTTTGCATTCCTCGATTCACGCGGCGCAATTCATATTCTCGTCGACACGCTCGAAAAGTGGTACGGGCAGCCCCTCGTCGGGATTTTCCCTTTCGAGTCCGTTATCCGCTCGTACGGATTCAACGCGATGGTTAATCAGATTCATACGTAATGAGGCACGCACTGTGGGAAGCGAGCGCGATTTTTCCCATATAAAGCGCGCCAGTGTAATCTACACCGATCGCAACTGGAACGATACCGCCGCGATTTGTTTCAGCGGCGTGATCTCACGTGATCCGAGAGCGTTTCTTACCTTACGAGTTTATGAAATTTTATGAATCATCAGCCGTTTCCGAACATGCCGAATAGACAGGCTGCACTGAAACAACTTTCTTTCTGGAAAACGCGCCGGAACCTGCGGCTCCATTCTGCGGAATGATAATTAATTTGAGATTGTACACACATTCACAAGGGGAGTGAGTTTAGACGCACATAGAACTCACAAGAAATGTAATTAGACTTACAAATCTACGTGTGAAGAGAAATATTACGAGATAAATGCATTACGCTTATATAGAATTAATCGGTGCAAATCTTTACCGAGAAAAAAATTAGACATTTTACAAAATTAGACATTTTAAACTTGCAGTGAATTTGTGAAACAATTCAGTTTCTTGAATGATATGATCGTAGGAAAGAGTAGATAAGCCAAGTTCGAGATTTGATCTCTCGTGACAAGAAAATATCGTTATTAATCTCATAAAGTTATCAGTCTCTCTGTGCTTAGCGTCTTGCACTGGCCGGTCTTTGAACCGGCCATATGGCGTCAGGGTATACATTTCTTCTATCATACGTTTTTCTGATCGTTCAAGGTCAACTTTCATTTCGTTTATGAAATCATCAAAGTCTGTTCTTTTCAGCTGCATCTCCTTAAGCTTTCTACGTTTAATGAAGCGGTCATATATTCACATATTGCCAAGATGAAGAAAAAAAAAAAGAATAGGTAGATGATAATAAAGTATAGAAAGTTTAGAGCAATCTCCTATATAAATTGCTGCTCCAGTTTAATGCAAAGATTTTTATTTGAGAATTCCTTAAAGGAATAATGCACGGTGTGATTTACAAAATAACGTTCCAGAGTAGGTTCAATAACGAGATTTCTTTAGTATTGTTAATTAATTTAACGATTGCATTTCTATTGCAACTATAGTGCAATTTTATGAAGCAGGTTTTTCTCGAATATCATGTTAATATTGGATACTAAATTTCTACATGCTTGATCAATGACTCTAATATCTAGTTAGAGATTTACTGATAAGATATACTGATAAGACGTGTAAATTCGTCGGTCTTTTTAGCTGCGCTTTCATTCCGTTTGCACCGTCTTTCTCTCTCTCTCTC